TGTATCAAATGCCCTTTTTGAAAAACGAAACATTTCAGTAAGCATTCTTATTTAGAAAAAAATCATAAAAATTACACCGAAGTAAGGTAGCAGGTGCTCAGTACTAGCTAGCATGTTAGCTTAGCACACCATCAATACACGACAATTTATGAGAATAAAACTATGTTTGTTCTCCAAACTTACTTTATAGCGCAAGTCGAGTGTTTTAAATAACTTTCTGTAATCTGATTTGGCTTCAGATAAAAAAATCAGATAGAAAATATATTATTTTATTGTATTCTGCACAATTTGAAAGTCTATCTCGATTAGCATTACATTATACATATAATCAATTATTATGAAAATACCTGACATGACTCGAAGAACACAGGTAAATCAAATATCATTGCAATCATGTTTATTGTCTTCAAAACATCTTTATCTGCACTTTACAGCGATCTCGGATAGCTTTGTTGTGGCAGGACTTCCTGAATGTCACATGATTATGGCTCTTCTTCATGTGATCCATATATTATGGACTTCTGTTCAAACAGCGCCCTCACTTTCAGGATGAATTGATAACACAGTACAGAGTATACAGCGCTCAAAATGATTACATCGACGCATTTGGGTATAAATTCAATAAATATTATTCCTGTCTATAGAACTCTAATGTAAAGCTATGAGAATCTATCAATATTTCTCCAAATCTGCACATGTTTGAGCTAAAAGCCCTGAGGGACGTTGTTTTGTCAAGCGCTGTCATGACGATCGCACGGGAGTTTTTTTCTGAATGAGACCGGCTGAGGCTCATAATTCATATTAAAGGTAACGACTCATTTTTTAATTTCATAACTCCTGACACAAATTAAGACATAACTGTCACTATAAGTTTCTCAGAATACAATAGTGGTCAAATACTGAATCTTGAGTCTTATATCTTTTTAATGATGTATAGTTTGTCAAGGTATAACATTAAATCTGATAGTATATTTGAACTAAATAAATAAAAAAACGCTTCAGTGCGCCGACGCTCTGGAGACGGTTAAGAGGTTAAACCATCTTTTCATTTTAAAATATTTAAACTTTTACGATTATGATTTGAAATAATCTTAGTACGAACAAAATTTTGGCTCTGGAAAGGTGTTAGCAGACTAACATTACACAATGCACAGACACTCATCTGCTCTGTCATCCTATATCCTGAAGCTAATGGGGGCTGGCCTGAGGCATCACAGATTCTAAATGTCTTCATTGGTGCTCTCGCACTAAAGATTGGCCTATGTGGTGATTTTCGCACAGATATTTGTTTTATGAATTAATTTAATTTAATTTAAAACATCTTGTATTTTTAAAAGATATAATTTAAACTTTTAATGATTATACTATGAAATAAGATTAACACTAATCGAACACATGCAATGTTTCGTTCTGACCGCTGAAAAGACACACACACACACACACAGACAATGCATGCCTGTCAAGCGAGGGGGAGAGAGAATTACTTGTGGGATCTTTTCAACTTTAAATGTATGGACATCTTAGGAACTACTTCGTCAACCGGCTGAAAAAAGTACGATGATTTTATTTTTGACACCCGTTCATAACCTGTATGTATTGTTCTAATCTATAAAACATGTCGGATGATTTTTATCTAAAATAATAACTTTAGTTATTTATTTAAAAAATGAACGATAAAAGCATTTTATTAATATACTTTTAAATGAAAAATGTTGTTCAACTTAAGTTAGTGTGAAATAATATATTTGTAAATTACTAGATGTATATTTTAACCATTTAGAGCATGATGTTTTTCAACTTTAGTGTGAAATATATGATACATATTGTCCTCACTTGGAGGAGTATCATGTAACACACACACACACACACACACACACGCACACACAGATAAGCGTGCCCCCGTGACTTAGAGGTTTTCAGGATTCAGAGAGGTCTAAAGTAATTTATTGCCGATGATATCACCCATTTCTTACACATACACACATAGACACACACACACACACACACACCACTCCGGTCAAGCGTGGGGGAGAGAGAATCACTGGGGGACAACTTTAAACTCATCTTTTACATCTTTTGTAAACCATTCATATTGTATGGACATCTTAGGAACTACTTCTTCAACTCGGTGAAAAAGTAAGATGGTTTTATTTTGTGAACCGTTAGCAACCTGTATGTTTTCTTCTAATCTATAAAACATGCAGGGTGATTTTTATCTAAAATAATTGGATCAGTACATTTAGTTATTTATTTTGCAATGAATGAGAAAAGCATTTTATTAATTTTTTTTATCTAGTTAGTTAGTTAAAACCTTTATTCATCCCCACAGGGGAAATTCAGATGTCCAGTTTTTTTTTTTATCTAAAATAATTGGATCAGTACATTTTAGTTATTTATTTTACAATGAATGATAAAAGCATTTTATTTATATACTTTTAAATGAACAATGTTGTTCAACTTTAGTTAGTGCACGATATTTTCTCACTTTCACAGCCCCGCAAATTTATAGCCCCTGGTTCAGGAATGCGGAGGGTATCATGTAACACACACACAGACACACAGATGCAGATGCTTAGTGCGGTGACCATGGCTGTCATGAAAAAAGGCCGGTGAGAGAGAGAGAGTCACTCGGAGGAACATCTTTGGGGAACGTCTGATAAAGTAAGATGATTTTATTCTATAATTTCTCAGGATCAAAGACAACTGTCATACCCCGGATCAAAGACAACTGGCAACTTGACGTATAATAGAAGGGTCAATAGGTCAAAGACAACTGTCAAAATAAATGATTATACACCCACATCAAAGACAACTGGCATACCCCAGATCAAAGACAACTGTCAACTTGATCGATCGATAGGTCAAAGGGTCATCCCTAGATCAAAGGGACCTCCGGGACACACTCCGGAAGGTCAAAGGTTAGCCCCGCCCACCTGTCAATCATAGGGTCATAAATCATCTTGACAGAAGCTGCCGGGTATATCTACTGGCGCCCTTATATAATTATAGGTCGCACGTTAATCATTCACGCTAATGTTTGACGGGCTGTCGCCGGTCAATGTGATGAGGGAGATGATGGGAAGGTCTTGACCGTTGAGTACATGTACAGATATCCTACTGGTGAGAGGAAAAAGGGGAATCTGAAATTTACGTGCAAATGAATGGTCCATAAAGTTACCTTCTGCCCCTGAATCCACCAGTGCTTGACAGTCCTGCTTGTGTACTGACCATCTTAGTCTTACCGGGAGGAGCATAGATGTAGATGAGGCCTTCTCGGCGGAGATCCCACCCGACAGTAGCCTCATACTTACTGCCGGGCTTGGCCTTTTACCGGACAACTATAGGCAAAGTGTCCCGCGGCCCCGCAGTAAAGGCAGAGGCCATGGGATCTCCGCCTCTCCTTCTCCTCCCGGGAAAGCCGAGCTCGCCCCACCTGCATGGGCTCGTGATCGTAGGTAGAGCAGCTCCCTCAGCAGATGTTCAGCGTCCTCACGGGAGCTTCATGTTACTGGAATACACCACTTCTCTAGTTTCTGGAGATATACTGGGGTTACAGACCATCAAATACAGTCTAATGTTTCTGTAGAAGATTACAGAATTACTGACATTCATCTCCTTTTCATAATGTCATTTTGCTTAGAGTCATAAAAATCATCTCCACAGTGTCATTTCCATCACATCTCAAATGTTTTGTTGTGTCATCCATCAGCTGGAAGTGAAACCACCGCCTCCGTCTGAATCCCAATCAAATAGACGATATCTTTACTAATAAACAACCGATTTGAGCTTTAAACAACTACATTCTAGCCTGAAAAAATCTTAAAACTACAGTTCGTGACACAATAACAGCAGTATTCTTAAATTGCGGGGTTTTCTCCTCTGCTATTGATGCTTGCTGGTTGGTGCGAGATGCATTCTGGGATACCTGACTGTCTCAAGTCCGCACAACTCTGCACATATTATATGTGTCCCTAATCAAACACACATGATCAACTCATCAGCTCATCAGTAGAGACTCCAACACCTGAAATGTTTGTCAGATTAGAGAGACATTGTTGGGGAAACACTGATGGTTTCATGACTGAACTCCATATATTTATTTTTACCTGTGTGTATTTGTGTGTAAGTGTGTATGTGAGTATATTTAATGTGACTGTGCTTCGGCCATGTAAAGCCGTTCTTTAACCCTGTCAGTAAAGCTGTTTGACTCTGATGAGTCTGAGGTGAGTCTGTATCTCGTCCTGATCTCTCTTCGGTCTCGTCGTGAGCTCACAGTCTACAGCAGCTTTTGCATTCAGAGGGTGTTTTATATGATCAGCACATGCTTCACTCTGCATGTGTTTATAGCTCTATGAACTGAACATGACATGATCAAGAGCTCTTCTTCATCAACCAACAAACATGACTTTCAGCATCATCTTCCTCTTGACTCTGCCAGTGTTTAGTCCAGGTTTGAACAATGATTTATGATTGTATTTTCAAACACTAATAACACTATATCATTACAATCAACATCAATCTTGTGTTTATGAAGAGAATGAGTCAGTGTTTTAATATGATCATCATGTTTTAGGTGTAATATATGATCCCTGTCAATCAAACTGAACACACTGCATTCAGTCACTTCAATTATTTTTATTATATATATATTTTTTTTTAAATAGCAGCACCTTCTTTTGCAGAAATGAAACTGTTGTGTTCCAGTCCAGATCATGTAACCAATCAGAGAGTGAGACTGAAAAGCCCATTTGCATTGTCAGGGTGGAGTGATTGTGATCTCTCAGAATAGAGCAGCTCTGTCTCCAGAGACCATGTTCAAACCCCAAGAGCTTTATTTGACATTTACTGCGACATCAACCTTCTGAAAAGCTCCTGCATCTTCATCTGTTAGTTGAATGATGTTGTCAGACACAAAGTGAACTTGTTGAGAAGCTTTATTGAATGTTGCAGCAAACACAGCAGATTGAAAGATCTCACAGACACACACACACACACACACACACACACTCACACACACTCTCTCAGTATGGAGTTGTAAAGCACTACAGCTGCAGCACTAGACTCATGTGAATCCTGCCTGACACAGGACACTCAGATACGGCTCATCTTCAGGAGAGAAACATCAGCACTCAGAGCTCTTGTGGAACGAGACCTCATGAGGAGCTCCATCATGTGTTACTCTGCAGACGTACAGCTCTCCCTCTTCCCAGCGTGCTTTGCTGAGGGTCAGGACGCTACTGCGGCTGTAGCGGCCGTCCTGCTGGCTCTCTGCGCTGGTCAGAACCCCCTCGGTGACCTCTGACCCGTCCAGTGTCCAGCTCACCAGCGCCCCCTGTGGAGAGTAAGAGCTGAGCAGGCAGAGCAGTGCGGCTGAGTCTCCAGAGATCTGCAGAGAAGAGGGCGGCAGCAGAGACACTGAGGGCTTCACTGTGGGACCAGCTGCAGGAGACAAACACAACACATTCACAAACACACACACAACACACTGCACTGCACATTCACAGCATTTCAACAGGACTGAAGCAGCAGACATGAGGAATGCAGGACAAATCTCCAGCATCTGATCCTTCATGCCATTCAGCTTCACTACAGTCAATATATATATATATATATATATATATATACAATATACACACTACACAATCACTATATACATTTAAATCAAATGAAACTAAAGATACTTAATTCTAGCTTTTAACTCTGAACATAAATATCTTAAATTTTATATACATGTGATACTAAACTCAAAATGTAACTCATTTTTAAAACAGAATTGAAAAACAATTGAATCATTAATACATTGTGTTTGTATTATAAAGCACTGAATTATAAGCACAACATGAGCAAAAGAGATTCGGTATCATTGACTGAACTACAGAAAGTAGCAACATTTACATTCTGATGTCAAATCTCTTTTTACATGTATGATTTCTACAATAAAAGATGAACTAAATATGAACTCGGTGTAGAAATAAATGAAGGAAAAACAAACCTGTAATAAACTGAATAAACTCATAGTGAGACACATTATGGAAAAATGTTTAGACATTTCTTTTTCTTCTGAATGTATAAACATGACAATATCATTGTTTTAGATTAAATAAGTCTACAACAATATTAGTAAAACCTTTCCTAAAAGCTTTATATATATATATTGCATTATAAAAGTATTTTAATGCAATAATTAAGCCTTGTTATACATTATAATGCATGTATGATCTCATCAATAATTGTAGCCGCAGTTTTAACACATTATAATATTATATATTCATTGATACACCTTCAAAAATGTATAATACACTAAAACACACGATAAACAACTAATTTCGGACGAAACAAGGAATTTGCAAATATTATAATGCATTTGTAACTTTGGTTACAGTTATTTATTAAAATATAAAAGGCATTAAATTCTACATTATTGATACCTTTATAATGTATCATACATAAAGGCTTCAAGTAAAGTTTGCCACAATATATAATAATCATTTTTATAAAAAAAAATGTTGTTCTTGTTTCAACTGTTAAACACTTTCTGAAATCTAAATTGTATGTTTTATTAGGTGATTAAATCGACAGACTTACCAATCACCAGTTTAGTTCCTCCACCGAATGTCCACCACAGTGATACAATCTAATGAAACGCTCGTACAAAAACCTCTATTCCACTCGAGTGAACACACTCCAGCAGAGAGAGAGAAACAACACTTCAACACACTGATATTAGAAGATCCTCAGCTCTTCTCAACACTCACTCATTCAGATTTGACTAAATGCTTTCTGATATAACACTGTTTAAAGAAATATATGTGATGAGCTGTGACCTCTGAGGTGACCTTTGACCTCTTTGATCATGGATGATGTTGTGGAGTTTCTCATAATGATGCTTCTGTTCTTCATATGCAGATCAATCATCATGATTCACAGAAAAACCTGCAGCTTCACACTTCAATCTTCAGTGAGAATCTGTTCAAATAATGACTTTATTGAATATTAGAGCCAAAGTCAATAGAAAGTGTGACAATGAAGATATAAAAGGTGTTTTGCATGTTCTACACAGTCAAGCATGTTTTCATATTCAAGGTGTGTTATAAAAGTATCTGGACTGGTTCTGAATCTCCACACAAGATCATGAAACGTGAACAAGCTCTAATATGTGTCCATCTTTAACAGCCTGTTTCTTCTCCATCTGATGATTTCAGACACACATGAGGCTTCATGATAGATGGAGTGACACCATGAACTCTGATTAGAGATTCACAATCAGTCCTGATACTTTCTGAACACACTCATGATTCATGATCTTACTTTAGTGATGGCGCTTCATCTAGTGGAAGTGTAGCAGTGATGATGGTCACATGACTGAATATGGACACAGAGATGGACGTTCATCTGCACATCCTCAGTGTCTCAGGAGTCACAATAAACATACTAAATAAAGTCATGATTGTGTAACTCTAGTGTATATGAGTTTGTTCTCAGCACAAGCTGTTGTAAATCCTGCCCACTTCTTTGCATTGTCAGCACATGCTTCAGTGCTCTGAGAGTGTTTATAGTGCTGTGAGTTTAACACTTCATGACTGAGAGCAGAACACAACACACTCTTCATCATCACACAAGACTAAACTACAACTATGAACAACATCATCATCTTCATCTGGACCATTGCACTGTTTATTCAAGGTTTGTGTAATACAGTTTTGAAATATATGAAATGTACAGCATATATTTATCATATATATGTATATAATCATATATTAATTTTCGTTTGTGTTTTCTTTTAGAGTGTAGAGGACAGTATACTGTAACTCAGAGTCCATCAATATCAGCAGTTCAACCAGGAGAAGAAGTCAGAATAAACTGTAAAACCAGCAGTGATGTGTATAGTAATAATTACTTACACTGGTACTCACAGAAACCTGGAGAAGCTCCTAAACTCCTCATATATCTGACATCAACCCGTAATACTGGAACTCACTCTAGATTCAGTGGCAGTGGATCTGGCAGTGACTTTACTCTGACCATCAGTGGAGTCCAGACTGAAGATACAGGAGATTATTACTGTCAGAGTTTTCATGTCACTAGTCAGTATTGGTTCACACAGTGATAAAGAGTCGTACAAAAACCTCTGTCAGTCAGACGTCACAGTGACTGCACTGATACAGCTGAGAGAAACTGCAGCTGCTGATGGAGGATCACAAACTACACAATATCAAACCTTTCACACACTTTATTCATTTATTATGATGTACTAAGTAAACATATAATCTTATATCCCTTACTAAACTGGACTAAAATGTGTATAAATGTGCGTGGTGCTTGTTCTTGTAAAACTTGTTGTTCTTGTAAAGCCTCTTCAATGTAATAATTGCACTTCATGCTTCACCACTAGAGGACACATCTTTATATGACTGAGTTCCTCTCTGTCAGCGAGAGAGTTTCTCTGGACACTTCAACGAGCATCTAGTAAGAGAAATCGATACTCGGTTACTAACGTAACCTCGGTTCTCTCTAGAGAGGGAACGAGTATTGCGTAAGTTTAGCTTACGCTACGGGAAAGATTCATCTTCTCGAGATATTGAAGCCAAAAAAATTATCCTTAATTTTGTATTCATTGTCAAAGTCTGGTCATTCATTCAGGTCTGGACCCGCGGACATGCGGGGTGGCGCATCTGCTCTCCTTCCTACAAGAGCTGTTGGATAAGGGAAGGTCCCCATCCACGCTCAAAGTACGTGGCGGCCGTGGCAGCGTTCGCAGAATCGACGCACGGCCAGTCTTTAGGAAGACATGAGTTGGTCATCTGTTCCTTAGAGGAGCTAGGAGGATGAACCCGCCGCGCCCCCTGTCGGTTCCCATGTGGGATCTTTCACTGGTCCTAGAGGCCCTGAAAGCTTTTCCCTTCGAACCACTGGATTCCGTGGGGTTGAAATATCTATCACTGAAAACCGTCTTTCTGACTGCACTGACGTCAGTAAAACGTGTGGGGGACCTGCATGCGCTGTCTGTCAGCGCGTCGTGTCTTGAGTTCGGGCCGAATGACTCTAAAGTCATCCTCAGACCTAGACATTAGGGGTGGAACGGTACACAGAAGTCACGGTTCGGTTCATACCTCGGTTCAGACGTCACGGTTCGGTACGATTTCGGTACAATGGAATAGCAAAACAAAAATGCAGAAGGCTTTTTTATAAATGTCTTAAGCCTTGTATTTTTATTAATAAAGGCATAGAACCAGTTTATTTGTAGTGCACTGACAGTAGTTTTATATAATTAGTTTATTAATTAAATTATTAAAAAGACGAAAAGACCTTGAGATATGTTTGGTAATTGTACCTGAATGAATTTAAAATTAATTAGCTATTTCAGATCAATATATTTGTTTTCCTTCATTTTAATTAACCCTAACTTTATTCTCATCTGAATTATAAATAATTGACTTCCGTATAAAATAATACTACCATTAAAAACTTTTGTTAACAGTTGTAGGTTACAGTTTGACAAGAGTTTAGAGTGTGACAAAAGCACAATGTTGTGTTTTATTGCGAGTGTACACAAATATAAGTAAACAATTTGCAGTTTTAATGATGTCCTGTATGAAAAAAATGACGGAGTATGTTTTTATGTTTCCACTGTTCGATCGCCCGTGCCTCTCTCTCACACACACACACACACACACACAGTTCGATCGCGCGGGATTCGCGCCCGCGCCTCTCTCTCTCTCTCTCGCACACGCGCGCACACACTGTTCGATCGCGCCTCTCTCTCTCACTCTCAAACACACACACTGTTAATCGCGCCTCTCTCTCTCTCTCTCTCTCTCTCTCTCTCTCTCTCTCTCTCTCTCTCGCACACACACACACACACACACAGTTAATCGCGCCTGTCTCTCTCTCTCTCGTGCACACACACACACACAAACACTGTTAATCGCGCCTCTTTCTCTCTCTCTCTCTCTCTCTCTCTCGCGCGCACACACACTCCAGCATTGCAATCTCTATCGCAGCCTGTTCATTGCTGCGTTCACAGTCACACCAAAAGCGAATAGAGCGAAATGTATCGCTATTTAAGAGTTTTTTTTTATTTGTACCGTGTATTCTCCGTGCAAATTCGTGCACCGAACCGTGACGCCCGTACCGTTTCGGTTCAATACGAATACATGTACCGTTCCACCCCTACTAGACATGGCTACGTTCCTAAAGTGATGGGCACTCCGTTCAGAGCGCAAGTTATCTCGTTGTCAGCTCTGCCAGCATCTGACAGCGAAAGTGATGTGAACCTCCTCTGCCCTGTCAGAGTGCTGAGGTTTTACATTACGCGCTCCGCCTTATTCAGGCGTTCGGAACAGCTGTTTGTTTCGTTCGGTGGGCGCACCAAAGGTGTCGCCTCCTCGAAACAGAGCCTGTCCAGATGGATAGTGGACGCTATAGCAGCCGCTTACGCGTCAAAAGGTCTGCAATGCCCTCTGGGCATCAGGGCTCATTCCACGAGAGGCGTGGCCTCTTCGTGGGCATGGTCCAGTGGAATTTCTATCCATGACATATGTGTAGCGGCGGGCTGGAGCTCCCCGTCTACCTCTGTCAGGTTTTATA